TCCCACCAGGAGCGCCTGAAGCCTCCGGACAGAGTAGCTTGCTGAACCACATGGGATCGTGTTCAAGGAAGCCAAACCCGGCAGAAACCCAAAGGTTTCCCACCAAGGCGGCACTAAGCTTTGGCCACGGGAGGTTTCACAGGGAGGGGAAGCTCCAGGACCACCAGTGTGTCCCCACTCCTTCCTCTCCTCCCACCAAAGCTCTCCCCACCTTTCTACGAGTCACCTGCCCGAATATTTACGCCGATCTCCATGAAGCTACGCCTCCAGAACGGAGTCCAACAAACAGCAACCACCAGGAGGCCACCCAACGGCTCCTCAACCCGCTCCTCTGACCCCCCCCCAGCCAGAATTCTCTCCGTTCCCCACCAGGTATCGCTTGATCCCGCTCTTCAATTCACGAGTGACGTCGTTTACTTACTGTAATGTTTCTGCCAGATGAGGATGAGCCCGGTGACCCCGAGGAAGAACAGCACCCCGCCGAGGACGGTCTTCCACTCGTTCGTTCCCCTGTTCATTTCCGCGTAGCTCTCGTTAAATTTGATACGATACACTGCCAAAAAAAATAGAAATTAAAAGCATCAAATCATTTTCTTTTACTGAAAACGACCCGCAGGCAACACGCCGCTCTCCAGAGGGAGGGGACCAACGCTGCCCCGAAGGGAAAGGCCTGCCAGGGGGCACGGTGGTCTCCTTCCCTCCCTCCAGGCTGGTTTTCGACCACAAAGCTTCCCAGCACGGATAATCTGGACGGGGATGCGCCTCAAAAGGCTTCTCACTGCGGCCCACGAGATTTGGAAGTGCGGGAGAGCGGTAGATTTGGGGAAGGTTTACGAGGATTCGAGCGGTTCCCAAAAGTTTGACACCTCCTGGCCGCCGCAGGGGCGGGCGCAGCGCCGGGCAGAGGTGAGGTTCTCACTCCCACACCAGCAGGAAAAGCTGATGTTGTTTTATTTGCGAGTCCAAACGCCCGCTCGGCGCTTTGGCCACCTGAAATTGGGTAGCCCCAAGGTCAGTGCTCGCTAACACTCAGGCACACGGGGTTTGTGTCACTCAGCTGGACCCACAAGCGTTGTAGTGATGAGATTTTATTTTTCCTCCTGGCTTCCTGAGAGCCAACAGGACTCCAGAAACAAACAGGATTACATTTTGGTTTCTGGAAGGGGAAGAAATCGCTGAACTTGACCTCAGGCACTTCCTGCAACAGCCCCGAGGGGGCCAGGGACACAAACCACCGCTCTCCCCCAGGAGCTCCAGCACAAAGCTCCTTCACGGCTGCGCTGGCAGAGCCCTGGGGAAGGGCAAGGTTTGGCAGCTGCCCTGCCAGGCACCGGGTTTTCTGGTCAAAGTCACCCATAACACACGGGAAACGGATTTGACGGCATCACTGCCGGCTGTGAGATCACTCAACCCCCCCCTGCACCTACGTTCCACTTTCTCATCGAGGGACAGAGCGGTCCAGGACGCCTTTTCCTTCTCTTTCAGCGCCTTCTGCTGAGCAGAGAGATCCCTGACGAAGGCCACGTCGGGCAGGGGAACCTCCCGACGGTCGACGTAGGCCGGGAGGCTGAAATCGTCTGCTTTGACGACGCCAGCTGAACAGAGGGGACACCCAGTCAAGCTTCCCCACGCCAACAGCTCTTACTGGTTACAATACACACAAAAAAAAACCAACCCCAAACCCAACAGCTCAGTCAAAAAAGTGATGACAGTTAAGGAATCCAGGAGGGAAAAAGCCTTCTGGAGGAGGCTTTCATCAGGGAGAAAGAGGGAAAAGAGAGAGGCCTTACAGCAGGTGCTATTTTAAGAGCGTAAAAATGAAGCAGAAAGGGGATCTATGCAAAAAGCAACATCCAAAATGACTTTTTTAATGTCTCAGCCACCTCTGTCTCCAGCTGTCACAGCGATCACCTCCCCTACCAACCACCCAGAGCCCCTCCACACCTTTCCCATCCCAATTTCTGCCTGGCCCTCGGCCCTGCCTGCGCCTCCGCGGTGCCACCTGCCGGCCCT